CTCTTTCCCCTCTCCTGTGCTCTCACGTGACACGAATGTTAGATTTCATGGTGCTGTCCCTGAGTCTATTCTCTTTTTCCCCCCGATTTTTTTCTGTTGTTCAGAATGGATGACTTTCATTGACCTTCAAGTTCGTTAATTCGTCCTGTCATCCCCATTCTACTACTGAACTACTGAAGTGTAGTTTTTATTTAGCTACTGTATTTTTCAATTGAAAAATTTCGAGTTGGCTTTTCTTACAGCTTTTATTTCTCTCCTGAGATGGTCCATCTTTGCATTGATTTGAAGGGTGTCTGCTGTCGCCCTTTAGAGCATAGTTATACTAGTGCCTTTAAAATGTGATAATTCCAGTATCTGTGTCACCTTAGTTGACTGTTTTTCGATTCTTCATTGTCTGTTGATTGTCTTTTTTTTTTTTTTTTTTTTTGCTGTATGCAGGCCTCTCACTGCTGTGGCCTCTCCCGTTGCGGAGCACAGGCTCCGGACGCGCAGGCTCAGCGGCCACGGCTCACGGGCCCAGCCGCTCCGCAGCACGTGGGATCTTCCCGGACCGGGGCACGAACCCGCGTCCCCTGCATCGGCAGGCGGACTCTCGACCACTGCGCCACCAGGGAAGCCCGTATCCTAGACGTTTTTAACATTACGTAAGGAGACTCTGTCTTGCTTCAGTCCTGTGGAGAATGTCGTTTTTTATGTTCTACCAGGGAACTGACATGGTTAAATTAAGTTCAAGCTGCACGTTCTGGCTGGTTTTCAGGGGCTACAGCTCAGTTTCAGTTCAGTTTTCAGAACCACCGCGGCGCTATTCGTATCTGCACTGTGTGGGCGGCGCTCGGCCCGCAGGTCCAGGGGGAGAGCCCTTCCTGCCCCTCAGACCAGGCAGAGCGGCTTCTCTCGGAGCCTTCGACCCAGCACACCGTTCTGGACTTGGGGCTGTGCTGGAGTCCAGGCTGGCAGGTGTGAAAAAACAAAACGTCAGTCCGTCTGCTCCAGCACCCAGAGCTGCTCCATCCGTCCTGTCCAGATTTGTAGCTGCACCCGAGGGGAAAGACGGGCCCTTCATGGAAAAGATCTGAGATTAGCAGCATTCCATCACTGGCCACCCTGTGCCCCGTCCCAAGTTCTGCTGGCCTTCGCTGACTGGTCCCTGCAGACACCTGACCTAGCAGACCCTGGACGATGGCTGAGGAGCAGCAAGGAGAATGCCTCGCTGCTGTCATCTCTTCTATGTGGCATCTGTCGCCGCAAAGTTGTGCCTCTCTCTCTGTCTGAATTCTGTCCTGCTCTGGTGCACCAACTCGGAATTTTAGAGTGAACCAGTGGTGTGACAAATGGACTGTAGGTGACTCTGCATCACGGTCCAGGGACACAGGGGACTGGACAGGGGCCGCCCACAGCGGTATCTGGGAAGAGCAGCAGGTGGGAGCACAGGGGCTGCCCAGCAGCGGCTCGGGTCAACCTGCACACGTAGAACCCCGGGGGGGATTGCAGATGTTGGGCGGGAGGGAGATGCACATGACACGGTGGAGAAACGCACCAGAGTGACAGCTGTGGCGGGAGCGGTGTACGCCGGGGGACTGGGCACCAGTGTGGCCGGGTGGCACCAGGACGTTGTGGGCACCTGGGCAGACCAGAGCCACCCATCTGAGCTACAGAGATGCCCGGCCTGCCAGCGAGGCTGCTCACAGCTTTCCACAGCTCGGAGCACCTCCATTTCAAAGGAAAACCCACACCCACAGAGCAAGCATTTCAAGGAAAAGCCCCGACAAGCAACCGCTATTTCTGCAAAAGGCCGTGAAGACAGGAAGAGAACCAACGAGTCATAAATGAGTCTAGTTCCATTTTACAGAATTAAGAGCTGAGGCACAGTCTCCCCCAGAGATACCCGAACTTAACAGGAGACCCAAAGACCCTCCCTCCAAAAACAAACAACACGGAGTGGCCTGTGCGGCCCCTTTTATGGAGGAGAGGCTGGGGCACAGAGAAGTCGGGTGACTCGCCCAAGGGCACACAGCGAGGCCGTGCACTGTGGGAAGGGCTGCGGAGGGGGGCGGCAGAGAGCACAGCTGGAGCCTGTCCCGGGCTGGTGTCCCTCTGGGCCCTGGAGGCACAGGGGCACCTTCACCCCGCAAGTGGAGACGTGAGGTCTCTGCAGAGAGCTGGGCCCTGCCTGACGCACACGAACGTGTTTAGCTGCCCAGGCGCCTCCCCGGGCCCGGCCAGCAGTCGGCTCTCGCCCCGGGGGCAGGAATCCGACAGGCCCCACCACCAACCCCACGTGTCAGGCTCGGGGCAGATATTAATCAAGCTGCTCCCGGCCCGTCTAAGCAGAAGAGACCAGTGCCGGCCCGAGCGATGTGAGCCCTCGTGCGGGGCGCTCGAGACATACAAGCTCGTGCCTTGCACCCTCTGGGCACCCCAGACCCTGCGGCGCCCTGTGGACGTGTGTTCTCCCCACACGGGTGTTAGGTCATCCTTTACCCTCAACAGCTATCAGGCGGGGCGAGCCCCGAGGCTTGGCTGCCACTGGCCAGCAGGCCAGGGACGTCCTCGTGGACACCACGTCCGGAGCTCGCCTGCTGCACACAACTGGGTCTCCAGGAAGACCCCTCCTCGACAGAGGGCTCAGCTGGCCCAGGGCTCCAATGATGCCGGGGGCGCAGGGCTCAGAGAACCTTGCAGAAGCCGGTCTGGGTGGGAGGGGAGACTGTCCCCAGGCTGCATTCCTCCAGCTCAGGGGGCGCCGGGAAGCTGGATTCCTTTTTCTAGGCCCCCCTCACACCGGGCCCCACCCCAGCTGCTGCCTCAAATGCCTGGCCCTCCCCGCCCTCCTGCTATTTTAATCCGGGCCCCCATTACCTCATTCTTGGCTCCAGCATTTTTCCTCCCAAAGTGAGCGGGCAGATGACTATTCCTAAAATACCTCTCACCTCATCCTCGCCCCATCCGGCCGTCCAGAAAGCCTCCGCCCCGCCAGTGCCCACGAGGTGAGAGCCTCACCCCTGCGCCTACCCCGGCCCCGCCAGCAGCCCACACACCTCCCCGGCCGCGCCTCATTCCCACCTCCCGGCCCGGGCCACACCTACCCTCCTGTCCGCCTATCCGAAGCTCCCCGAAATTTAAACCCTACCCAGAACACATCCCACAGGAGTAGGTCTTTGTGACCGTGGGTCACAAGAAACAATGGTTTCTTGGGTGTGACATCCAAAGCATAGCAATTTTTTCAAAAGATACATTGGACTTCATCAAAGTCAAATCTTTTGTGCTGCAACGTGAAAAGACAGCATACAGTGGGAGAAGATATTTGCAAATCATATATCTGGTAAGAACAGTTAAAGGTCGCTACAACTCAATAATGAAAGACAACTAACCAAATTTTTAAATGGGCAAAGAATCTGGATAGACCTTTCTCTAAAG